ATGGCTTGCAACTCAAATTTGAAGAAACAAGTGCTATACAAACAAAACGAAATAGAAAACAATCCTGTACTGTGAAACTAATCAAATAAGTTCGTCAAGTCACTTTTTTAATGTAAAAATCAAAAAATTTGTGGGTGGCAATTTGAGGCAATCTTTCGCATTTGCAGTGTCTGGCATGTTGGGTGGTGGAACTTAATAATTAAATTGTCCGTTTAAGTGTCCGTTTAATACAGGACCATTTCAGGTACTTTTTAGGTGTCTGCGTCTGCTTAATAGAGGTGTCCGCTTAATAAAGGTTTCATTTAAAGTAAATAAGGGAAATAAATTTGGGGACTTCGCTAGTGTCTGCTTAAAAGAGGGTGTCTGCTTAATACGGTGTCTGCTTAATACAGGTTTCACTGTATTTATAGCCAAAAATTACATAACAAAAATATGCAGGTATTTAGGATGCAAAGGGTTAAATAATAGGAACCTTATTCTTTTATGGAAAGCAAACACTGTCAATACTTAAGATTAAATAGGTAACATAACACTTTGAGGTTCTTTAGAGTGGATAGCAGTTGCCGCCATATCAAATAGGAGCGAAAAAGGCACAGCTGGTTAGTGCATGGCCTTTGGTCCACGAGGTCGACTTCTCTCCTTTCTTAAAACGGAGTATTGATGGAGAGAGGGGGTAAAATGAGCTCACCATTGATGTAAAGTTTATCAGTTGAATAATGGTCATGAGTTGTTGTAAAATTAAATATACTTGCTTTACAATTTTTAAAGGAATTCTAGTTTACATAACTTAGTGTCTCCATACTCAATATAGTAGTTTCATTCTTTTTACACCAAAGCATAGGCGCACAGGTCAATCACCTCCAGGCTTGTGAATCAGGGCTATATGCTAATAACTAATGACCTAACATCTCAAGGACTATCACTAAGTTCATTTGATTGAATATTGACTACTATCAGGCAAAGCCTAAAGTAACTTGTATGAGTTCTACCAAGGTAAGATCTCTCCACTGAAGCTTAAGAATCCACCATTTTTGGACTCATCTAAAGATGCAATCACTGACAGCAGACCTTGAACTGACTGCTCACCCACAAAAATCCCAAATTTGGAAGAGTGAGACAAGTCCCAATCAGGGAACTTGGTTGGGAATTCCCTGGTTGGGACTTGTCTCACTTTGCCAAATTTGGAATTTTTATTGGTATTCTTTAAATACCCTAAAATATCCAAAAATGGGAATCTGTTATTTTTTCCTGTGTGCGTAGGGGAGGAGGTAAATAAGCCATACAGCAAATTATGCTTACATAAAGAGTACTTCTTCAATCCCGTAATTCTGACCCTAAATTCAATGCAATCCAGTAATCATGATGGTTATTTTTGGCATCCCACCTCTTGTACATAGTTTCATTCCTAAATTCCGAACTTCAAATAAGGGAAATCCTGTATCCCGAAAAACCTTTCACAGATCCTCTTAATATGGGGCAGTGGAGCAGGGACAATCATAGTGTCACAGTTCCTGATTAGGAAAAGTGTGAACCTTCAAATATTATTATATCAGAATGCTATTGTTGTAAAGAAAAAACCCATCATACAAGCAGCAATACTGTGAAGAAGATCAACCCAGTTAATGTAGTTACAGACACACCTGTTGCAGTTACAAAAAGAAAGCCTGAAAGCCTGGCTTGTAGGGCTTGTCAGGGATTTGATTGTCCTCTGTGACACTGCACTCTACTGATTGAGCCAAGCACGACAGGTTCAAATTTCCCAATCCCCAGAAGATTCTAATACAGTCAACTCTCAATAACTCAAACCCTCACTAAGTCAAACCTTGCACTAACTTGAACCAAACTCAATTTCCTCTGAATTTCCTTCATACATTTACTATAATTTTACCCTCAGTAACTCAAACCTGAATAACTCGAACCACCACGTAACTCAAACTAATTTTTGTTTTTCTTCCAATAATTTTATATAATTTTACTCTCAATAACTCCAACATGTTTTAGACAACTGACAAGTCTGTTCAAATAAAGTGTCCAGCCCTGTATATTAATCAAGTGTTGATGTTTAATGCCTTTTTCAAGATATCAGTATATGGTATCTCTTGCTGCCCTTGAAGGGAACTGTGCATGCTACTTGCATTGTATTCCTTCCTCATTCCCAAGGTTTTCCTTACTTCGGTTTATTTGCTCTGAACTGCCAATAACTTGAACATTTTACGATTTCCCTTGAAGGCTGGAGTTGTCAGGAGACGACTATAATACCATAAAATTCCAAAAATGATCCCCTCCACATATAAGCCCCTCCAAATATGAGCCCCCCCAAACTCGTAACACAAAAAACCCTCCATTAAATCGCCTCTCCAAATGTGCTTGGAAATTGCCCCCAAATACATAGTAAAACAAAGCAAAAATGGTAAATTGCATTTCGATTTTGAAACGGCAAATTTCCCTCCGTAGATAAGCCCCTCCGAATATAAGCCCCTCCAAAACTAAGCCCCTCAACAAGGGCCTTTCAGAAATATAAGCCCCGGAGCTTATTTTCGGAATTTTCGGTATTATCATACACCACCCATCCGCCCGGCAAGGCATGGTGTCAAATGCCCGGGATACACCCGAGGAGGAGATGATGAACTTCTCCCCCATCCAGATTTCCCCTTCCCTCCTTAAAGAAAAAGAAAGAAAAAGGCGACTAGCGATTATACATCCATGAGAATGTAACTTATGACCCGGGCTTATGACCAAATTTGAAAACCGTTCTTGAATGGGACAAAAACATGAAGGCGTTACTGGCGCGATGACTACACGCAGCTAGACGACAGGACAACAAGATCATGCTATTAAACTAGACCTATTTGTAGAGAAAAATCTCACCTAAACAAAATTCCAGGTTGAGGGAAGTCTGGAAAAGGTCTAATAAGCGATTTCACGTATTCTAAAGCCTTCTCTTGATCGCTGAAATTGCCGGATTCAGCCATTTTCCCAAAATGAATCGCCCTTCATGTAAGC